GATTTTAGGCGGGGAATATTTTTATTGTCACCCATTATTTTATTTTAACCCTAGGCCCAACATCGTTAGTTTCGGCAAATCTGGCCTTGATGGTCCCCGCAATTGAAAGTAGTCTTCCGCCCAGACTCTCCACCCCCCCTGAATATTTTTATTGTCACCCAGATTATTAAAGGGACGACAACATTAAAGTTCCAGGTTCCATTCGGTCTGACCAAGTTCAGCTGGTACTCTAGAGTGGATTTTTTAAGATCGGTCGCGATCTAGGTTACGTATACATCAGCTGCATGGCTTTCCGAAAACCTGACAAGCTAGTGGTGTAGCATCTAGGTAGTTCGATCATGCAACTTGATTGGCCAGGGCTTCCAAGCTTTGCGTGTTTTGGGCATAGGTTGCAGCAGGCCACACGCAGCAGCAAAGTTATTGCAAGCTGGAGCAATTATTATGGTCCCTTAACACCGAAAACCTGAAACCCACAGCCCGCAGCCCCACAGCCCCGCAGCCCCGCAGCCCCGCAGTCCCCAGAACCCAGAGCCGAGAAAACGTAAAGCCCGCAGCCCACAGCCCTGGAACCTGAAGCCCAGAACCTGAACAGCTTATTCCGCATGTATCAGATTCGCGGGTGAATGCAAGGCCTTGTAAAGTATTGCACATGCAGTCGAGGAATCTTGCTTACAAGGACGCTCGATCTAGTCTTATTTCGTCGGGTGTCCTGCAGAGTTGCTGGTTTCCCATGATCACGGATGCGGCTGTTAGATCCCCCGCGGGGTTCAGGAAGGTTCTCTTGGTTGAGTGCCGGCACATGGATACCCAGCTGCTGCACTGCAGCCCTTGCCACAGCGTGAAGCCAGAGCGACTCCCACGTAGCACCGAGAGCAGGTGTAGCCTCATGTCGCACAACAACCATATACACATTAATTATAATTAAAGCATGATTTGCCACAGAACGAGACTAGCTACACACACTCATCTCTATAAGTCTCGCTCGCAAAGCCCGCTGGAGTTAGAATGTCCATTGCGCGGTGGTAGGCGATGTCCAACGCAGCTGAACCCCCATACGTAGACCCGATCTCACCGGCCAACTGCTTTGAACCCGCATAGTGCTCCACGAAAATAAAGTCCTCTCTAGGAGTACGCACCAACCATGTTTTCATCCTAGCGTCCAACAACCGCCGGTTTGTGCGTATATCCCCACACCTGCGGTCCTTCCCGGACCCGAAGCGCTCGTTGAACAGCAGGCACAAGACCACCAGGATGAAGGCCTGCAGTGGTTGCACAATGGTTTGCAAATGCTAGGGTCAGGAAGGCTTGTGCTGCAAGGCAATTGGAAACATTCGTTTTGCAACAGATATGCATGCAGACCAAAGATCTTGAGTTTGCTTGTTAGTGTGCATCATCCGGAATCTGCCGAACAAATCACAAATTCTGGCTTGCACAGATCGAAGCTATCAAAACCCCACGGAAGTGCAGGACTCCCAGCCCAGCCTTGGGGGCTTGAAGCTTCATCAGGTTCTCAACAAGCTGGTACAGCTGCATGGCGACGCAAGGAGCAGCAGCTGCTTGGGGCAACAGTATAATGCACGCATGATGTCACGCATGCTTTCAGGAATGTTAACTCATGCGCAATCTGCACCACTGGACAACATAGCTGCATGTGTACCAGAATGCTGCAGTGCAACAGGCTTTGGACAGTACGTTGCATGCACCCGGTAGAGAACTCGGCAGTGACTGTCATGCAGAATTTGGATGCCTTCCGGTGCAATCGTGCCTGAACCAGACTCGAGAGTTTCTTCATCGGAAGGATCACGGCGACGTGGTGGCATCACCTGCGGCAGGGATGGCTCGAAGTCGCTATTATTGGTGCGGGCTCTCGACTGCACATACTGCAGCTATAGTGGCTGCATGCGTCGACCAACATGATAATTACAAAGTCCATAAGCACCGAAGACGGTCCGAATGCAAACATGCAGTCCGGTCTTTTCACTGATTGCACGGGAGTGTTGCACTGCAGAACAGGCGCAAGCTTGAAAGAGGATTTGCCTCTGCAGATCAGCCTATGCAGCCAACATTAGAAGTCGATCAATCATAGATGATAATAGAGATCGATCGAGATATGATCCGTGTATGTTGACCAAACGACAGCCACCCAGCTTTTGAAACTCATACCGTGTGTTTTGATCGAGGTGACTGCTGGCTGCCCACTTGAACTACCCGACGAGGCCACAGCACTGAAGGAGGGTCTTTATGTTTCCCCATGGTCCCCCAACAGTCTGCGAAGAAATGCTAGGCCACTCGATAAATCAGTGAGCGTCGCTCCCCTCAGCCTCACGCCTTCGAAGCCATGCCTCATACTGCTTGCGTGTGGGCCGTTTCGTAGCCCCAAAGAGTCGCTCCCCATCAGCAGACCACGTCATGCCTTGGAAAGTGTATCTTGAGATATCAGCAGTGTAGATGCATGCACATGCATAGCAGCTGTACAAACTTGCATACAGGGTTACAATGCACAAGACAAGATACTGGCACGGTCTGTCATCAAGAAATCAAAAGTGAGGTTCTGTGCCACATCCACCCAATCCTCGGCAGTCGCGACCGGGTCCTGCTTCGTGGCCGTGGCCACATGGCGCCAGAAGTAATCCTGCCGGCAACCCCAGACAAACCAAACATGAAGCCATACATGCCCAAGACACTATACATGCTCTGTCGAGTCCTCGTACTTGCATGGCCACACTAAAAACGGCCGGATACGGGATCTGAAGGCGTCGCGGATGGCCAAAAACTTCGCCCTGTACCATGGGCGTGCAGGACAATACCGCCGCGCGAACGTGGCGATCTCCTCGTCCCCCTTCTGCTCCTCGTCGTCCTCGTCCTCCTCGGGCTCGGCCTCCTTCGGCTCCTCGGGGTCGTCGGGGACATGGGTCTCCTCGGGCTCGGCTGCGCTGGCAGCCTTCTTGCCCCGAACCCGAACCCTTTTTGCAGGGGGCTCCCAAGCTGACCACTCCTCCTGCGTCCACTCACCATAGTACTCTGTGGGAGCGGATTCCTTTGCCTTCTTGCCCTTCTTTGCCTTGCAGAGCAATCGGCGCTTCGAGGAGAGGCGCTTGAGCTTCTTCTTTGAAGTCGTACTCGTTGCCGTCGCCGAAACACGGGTATCATCGGCCTCGGCATCCGAAGCATCATCTGCAGCCTTCACCGCGGGTGCAGCAGAGGCCTTGGCCTTGGCTTTCGATTTCGGGGCGGCTTTCGACTTCGGGGCGGATTTCGCTTTCGACTTCGGCGCGGCTTTGGCCTTTGCCTTGGTCGCGGCCTTTTTTCCCGAGGCTTTCTTCGGCTTGTCTTTAGATCCCGAAGCTTCTTCGGGCCCATCACCGTCGTCCCCGTCAGCCTTCTCGGGCTCGTCCTCCTTTGTGTCCTTGGCCTTCTTGGCGGCGGTCAGTGCCATCTGATGTTTCCGTGTCACCACTTCGGCAGACTCAGATCGATCATAGTCACAACATGACACGCATAACATGAATCCACATGAACTGTTGCAAATGCTTTCGAAACTCGGCTCTCTAGTGTTGTATGCACATCAATTCAAGTTTAGTGGCTGGCTTGCCAACAATCTCGGCCTCGTCCTTGCCGACCCGCAAGGAAGTATTCAGCTGCTCACGTCGACGCAGTTTCGCCTTGAGCTCCTCTTGATGTATCTCCGCAAGCTCCTTGTCACGGGCTTGCAGCAAGGCTCGCTTTCGGGCCTCTGCTGCCTCAACCCTTGTCGCATGCTCACTGCGCTGCTGCATCATCCATGCATCGATGTAGTGCTCGGGCTGAACCTCCCAATGCTGTGTCTCGACTTGGTCCGTGGACTTGCCTGCCACCCGCAATGGAAATATCATCTGATTAATTTAATTTCTGAAAAGCTACAAATCCTGGGTTGACATGATGCTTCGTGCATATATCTTGCCTGAAGCGGCACTACCAGCTGATGTTGACAACTCACCATCAGAGGAGCCATCGAAGTTCAACTTACGTCGAACATGACGATCAACAACTGGTTCCTTTCCCTTCTCCTCCACAAAACCCTTGGACTTCATCTGCAGCCTTGGGCATCACAGCGAAGTTTATGCATGCAACGAAGTGCATGCCTGAACGGTCGTAGCTACCGAATACTGTCAAGCTGCTTCTCATTCACAACATCCAGTATCTCCTTCAGCTTTGACGGGTCCATCCCCGCAAGCTGACGGGCCAAGCCTGTAGCAGCCGACATGCCTTTGCCGCCAGCTGGTGCTGCGGAAACTGAAACAATTTCCTGAAGGGATGCATGTGCATGCAGGCACCCACAACTGCAAGCACCAGTCCAAGAAATCAACAGCCCAAGACTGCATGATGCTACCATCTTAGGCAAGTCTCAACTCCAGGGCTTCCAGGCGACAAAGGAGGTTGAGCCGTATGCTTCTCGGGGGTCGGGTCCGGGATCCTCTCGGGCACAACAGGATCGGGCGGGGCCTGCGAGTCTTCGGGCATTGGGGGCTCCACAACAAGCGAAGCCCCAACTTCATCGGGAGCTGGAACCAAACCTACACCCGCACCGGGAAGGTCCACGACCGGCTCCAGTGCCTCAGGCTTGTCATCACCGGCGCACTTCTTCACTATCTTCCGATAAAACTCCGGGTCCAGTGAAAATCCTAAGACTTTCTCCAAAGCCTTTTGCGGCGGCGCAATGAGGCACTGTTCCGGCGCACTGGACGCCCGGGAAAGGGAATGCAGATCCGCTCGCAGTGACTCGTCGTCCATGTCACTGTGAATCTCACTGTCGAAGCTGGTGTCACCAGTGACGCTAGAACAAGATCGCTTCGGGGACTTTGCTAACGCACAGCGTCCTTCCTAAATTGAGCAGGGGGAAGCATCAATCAAGTAAGCACAGAAGTGATTGTTGCACACACACAGACACACACTCTCTTTCTCTCTCACACCTATGCAACATGTATGCAGTAGAAAGCATTTAAAAACAGCACCGCTGAATAGAAACATGCTGCTGTGCACAAAAAGGAACGGAATATGCTTTCGAGAAAGCTGCTGCCAAATCATACACCATGTCACGGATCTCCTGTTCCTTGCATGCACACAGTGTGGTTTTAACAGAAAACCCTAAATGCCTAGCTGGTCTGGTTTCAATACAAATTAAAATATTAACCTATATAGTTGATGTCCCACCATGTCACGCGTGGCAGCTCCCATTTCGTCCACTTTCGTTTGATGACGGTCAGCATGCACGCGATCGCTTTTGCTGTTTTGTTGATGTTCCGTTCCCTTCGGAGTTTCATCTCCGCAGTCTCAGCAGTCTCCTCCATCTGCTCAGTTTCTCCATCGTAGAACTTGTGAAGCGCTGCCTTGATCAGTCGAACGGGCTTCCGAATTTTCCCAGCTTCGGCCATAGCCTCTGTAAAAGGCTTCAGAACTGGCGCATTCAGTTTCATGTTCGACAAGGTTGGAGACACATAAGCCCGGTTCTTGCTGTCTTGCACCAGCATCATTCGCGATCGCGCGCGCTTGCGGAGGACTCGCTGCCCTTCCCACGCCCTGCAACACGAAAGGAAATCCAATTTGCTCATGATGACAAGTGACCACCTTGAACCCCAACTGCGAATGACTTGTGTCTGATTGCCTTCTCGCATATGGTATGCATGCACACAGTACTACAGTGTTGCACGCAAAGCCTGACGACAAAAGCTGGCACAGAGCAGAGGGGTGGCACCTCTCCGCCAGGTTGGCATCACCACGCCGAAGAGCTGCGCTGGCTTCATCGACCTGTTGTGCTCAGCGAGAAACTCCAAAAAGTTGGAACAGAAAGCGTGCCAGCAGGGCCTTTCGGAGCATTCTGGATGAAGAAGGGCACGAGAGCACATGAGGGCAAGGATAGGTCGGGGATATGCTTCATGAGGACAGCTTTTGTGGTGTGTTGCCACACATATGTCTTTGGGAAACATTGGGCTTTCTCATAAGGATCATACAGTATAGAAGCTATATAGCTATAGAAGTCCATAAACCGAATATCAAGGGTCGACATCTCAATTATCGTTACATAGCTCACATACTTAAGAACGCGTATCGGTTCAATCAGCTTAATACATGCAGGAACCGGTTTACACTGCCATCATACATGCTAATTTCAGCCTTTGCCACATCCATGGCATGATAAAGACTTGGACCACTGGGTTGCTTCAGAAATGCCTCCCTGAAACCACGGGGTGCTTCAGGGACCCTTGGTCTGAAGTAGGGGGTGCCTTTCAAAAAACAGGCGTTTGACCATTCGTGAGCGTTTGCACAACATACTACTTTTTTACAGGCGTTTGCCTTCCCAGGTATATATATATATATTTGTACATATGTGTGTGTGAAATACTCTATGCAATGCTACTTAGACTGTACATGCACACGTGCAGACGGCTTTGCAGTGTTCGGCTGCAGCAAACACCGGATTTGTTTTGGATTGCTCATGTCAGTATTGCCTTGGTAATGGGTCGAAATCCCAGAGCTAGAGTTTCTATCTTACGAAACCTGCTCTTCTATAAGCATCATGTGCGGCCTCGCCTGATGCATGCCTCGAGTGCTTGGAGCTTTCCGCACGTGGCCAAAGAGAAACTTGAGGTTTACGGCTTAAAAGCAGACAGGACTGCAATGATTAGTAAGGCTAGCAAGGCCACTGCCCACCACAAGATGCCAGTTGTGATACTTCTGCAAAATGCAGCCCAGCAAGGTCAGCTCTGCAGGTACAATGCACCGGCCGGCAGAGGGAGATCAGGCAGGCATTGCTGCGATCGCCTTGTCTGCTTTATCCGGCAAGCATAAGCTGTATTTCTTATCCTCAAAGCGCGGCCTAGGCGAAAATCAGGGCATAGGAACGACCAGTTTTCTTCTGACTTGGAGGTGAACTTCCAGAATCCAAGAACAGTTCTTTTCAGATTTCTGTAGGCCTGAAATCCTCCGTGCGACAGCTCAAAATGCCCCTTGCTCGTCCTTACAATATCATAATGAACTCGTTCTAATTGTGAAGGCACCCCGCTGTAACCGACATCAGAGTTCCTAGCTGCCTCGTGGACTCGACTTTGTGTTTGTGTGTGTGTGTGTGCGTGTTTTTTGGTGGGTCTTATACTTGGACTAAGGCTTCGGGGTATATCACGCCAACATTTTTATCCCACATTGCTGGAACACAACTTGACCATCTCATTTTCCCTCGAGTTCCAGCTTAGCATGTGCTTTGTTACAATCACACTGCCTTTCCTAGACCCTCCACCTACCCTCCTTTCGACCCTAAAGGCCCAGTATTTGGGACCATCTACCATCTAATTTGAGGGTGCGAGGAGGGTCCTGGTTATATTATTGGGTTTTGGGGCCCATTATACTATAGTTATAATACGGAACCCCCCCAAAATAGTATGGGTACTTTTTCAGGCCCCTACATTACTGTGTGTCCACCATTTCTTGCATCCGGAGCCCGGAAACCCGTGATGCTCCGGCCCTGCGTGCCCTTTAGGGCTTTGGGTTTTTGGTGTTATTTTTAGGGTTTAGAGTTCCCAGTTTAGGGTTCAGGGTTTAGGGTTTTTGAGTTTATGGTTCAGGGTTTAGGGTTTTGTTTCCCGGCTGGTTGCAAGAGTCCTGGATGCAAAGGGTTCAAGGTTTCGCAACTTGTGAGGCCATGTGGCTTGATGCCCTGCACTTTGGCAGACGCTCCGGTGAATTGCCAGTGGCGCTTTGCCTCAGCCAAACTTGCGTCGAAGAATGAACCGTAACCCTCCAGGTACCTACTATACAGGGCTATAGGGGCTCTAGTACCCTCTATAGTAGGTACCTGGAGGGTAAGCGGAAGGTTGTTTGAGGAGGAAGGGCTTGGCATTTACCAGGACCCACCAAGGGCCCTTTCTGGAGGCCTTAGACGCAATTGTCGTGCGTTAGTACTTCTATGTCCTGGAGATCCGAAAGTATCGGAGTTTGGAAGCCTGCGGTTGTCAGCATCGTAGCGTCAGCAGCAGCAGAAACAAGTGAATGTCGTCGTAGGAAAGGCGTAGTGGCGGTGTCGTAGTAGCAGCCGTAGAAGTAGTAGTGGAAGTAGCAGCAGCTAGCACGTAGCAGATACTGGTAGCATGTACTGAGTGCATCCGAGTCGCCTGAGGCCTTGTCACACTAAGCGCAGTCACTTTCCCCAGCACATCTCCAACTGTGACCACCTTCAATTATCGGAACCGTAAACCTCACCCTATCGCTGGCCACTGATCTCTGAGGCGGCACTGGACCCACTGGGTGGCCTCCTCAGACCCTGTCAACGCCAGGATGTGAGTACGACAGAATCACGTAGCGGGCTCAAAGAGATCCGAAAAATATTGCAGAGGACCCTTGAAATCGAATCACATTTATTCAGAAGCCCCGCATATGCAGGTCTTTTGTCATCCCACTTGCTGGGTGTTGGTCAGGTTGTATGGATTCGGATGATGGCTTATAGTCTGAGGGTACAGGAATTAAGATATTTTGGTTGTCGCGCAAGCCTTTGAGCAGGGCTGCACGCTTGTTTTTTTTCGCCGCGCATGAAGTCTGGAACCCTCCCAATCCCGTTCATCCTCAGTCTGTGGCTTCAAACATGCCGCTATCCTCTGAGACCGACTGCGGCTGCTCTGGATTGCGCACACGGGAGAGGATGGTTGAAATGCAGGTGCACACTTTTTGAAGGTTGATTAAGCAAGATGTTCGTGAGCAGAAGGGGTCCCGGGTCCAAGTGTTTCGACGCAGCATTTAGAACGGCTCTTCTTGACTTATGCCCCTCTGGGTAGTCTTAGGACTCATCTAGAATCCTTTTAGCTCCAGTTGGTTCAGGAAGAAAAGCTTCAGCCCTTAGCTAAACAATTGTTGAAGAGGTCCCCTAAACCCTAAAAGCCAGGCTGGTCCGAGTCCAAGTGGGTGGTTTTCTAAATTAGGGTCCCTTTTTAGGTCCCCATTATAGTACGGCACCCTTATGAAAAGGACCCTAAAAGGGACCCTAATTTAGAGAACTACCCAAGTGTCAAAAAACCCTAAATGCTAAAAAGTCCGCCATGATTTCCCGGGTGCACGTGTTGCAGGCTCTGCGAGGGGGCATTCCCTGCGTCCGGCACTTGAGAAGGGCTTTTTGGGTTTAGGGTATATGTTCGCTTGTGTATCGTTGCCCTTTTGGATGTGGCGGGGTGGCCATGAAGGTGCTTTGAGGTTCCGGTTTGTTAAAGCGTGCGGTGTCGGGCGTATTGCACATAGACCTTGTAGAGTGTGGGGAATTTGGACCTGGGATGTATAAGGCTTTCGGCAACGGGTTCGGCTAGGGCTTGCCTGGAGGAGCCCAAGTCGTGCGACATGTTTACGAGTTACCGTCTTCGCAACTCGCGGTGCTCAACCCTGACCCTTGACCCTGAACCCTCGTAGCACGTCATCTAGGGCCATTAAGACCACAGGCAGCCGATGTAATGAGCCAAGAGCTGCTGGTTGAGGTCGGTGCATTGGAGGAGAGCGACAGGTGCGGTACTCGTACTAGTGGGATCCGGTTTAGGGTTTAGGGTTTAGGGTTTGGAAGGTTTTTTCGTTATAAGGTTACGGCAAAGGTTCCGGGTTGCCTGTGCTACGCATGTCATGTGTAAGCCTCCTCGATGCATTGGAGCAGTCTACTCTGCCGCTTTGACGTGCTGCGGACTGCCATCTGCTCGGATGGTGTCCTTGCAACATTCAGACATCTCCACCCGCTGCGCCCGCATGCAGTTGCGAACCTTCGGTGACGTGCGCCTCGCTGTAACCCCGGCGCATTCCACAATAGCAGGGTTGAAGCTGATGCATTTGGAGTGCCCTGCACGGCACTGTCGGCAAAATGGGCAGCTGCCCATGTGGCCAGGAACGTGGACTGTGAGTTTGGGCACTGGACTTCCTGGAGTGCTTGCAGCGTGACCTGCAATCTCCTAAGTTGGCTTGCTGTCCCGTTGTGTGCAGACACTTCTGCGGTGTTGTCTTCAGGTGGTACTGGTCAAAGATACCATACCAGGACTGTGATCGTGCACGCGCAGGCCGGCAAAGGACAGGTCAGGCGCTCTCCTTTGCGAACGTGGGCCATTGTGTCCTGAGGCGTCGGGACACCGGTGTGATGGTGGCCGGAAACCGAGCTGCTGGAACTTTCAGTCGTAGCTCCAGGACTGGAATCAAAAGAGTGGCCCAGGCATGGAGGAGGTGCAGTCCTGTACCATGGAGCCGTGCGGCGCAGCACGGGATTGCGAATCACTCAAAAGGGGGCCAGGAAAGTGTTGATGGATTAGAAGAAGTCCTTACACCCGTAGCGAGAGGGTTTGAAGTTTGCACTGCATGACTCGCATTCCGATCCAGTTCTTGGATAAGTATACAGGGTTTTGATTTCAGGATTGCAAGCACACGCCAGTTCTGAAGTGAGACCCGAACTTCAGGTGAGAGACTTAGGCTTCGCCCAGATTCTCCTGGTCGGTATTCTGATACTCGCATGCAGTATCTGTGCATCCGTCGGTTGAACCCTTTGAGGCTCCTACACAGAGTGGTCAGGAACTCAGATGGGTTGCAAATGGTGAGCTTGCTTCGAGTTCGAATTGCGACAGCGTCTGCGACAATGCGCCAGCCTCCGGAACTTCTCTTCTGACCGGCGCCCATACTACCTACCTTTCGGATTACTATAGGAGTGTGCTTTCCCTGTTTGTGTTTCTGTGTGGAAGGGGTCTTCTTCTTGATAGACATGTGTGCCATGAACATCGTCGTGCATTCTTCGTGGTCGACGTAATGGTTGTCCTTGTGGACCACTGCTGCTAACAAGCACCTGCTACTGTTCTTCTTTCAGCTTGTCTAAAGCTGCTCTGACAGCAACCGCGACGATGACAACGACGACGACGGACCACTACTGACCGCTGCGACCGCAACGCAAGTGCCTTTGGCAAACAACCACGACGACGATAACACCGACCTAAATCCAAAACCCCTAAGCCAACTACAAATCCTAGATCCCTAAACCCTGGACCCCTAAACCCTGGACCCCTAAACCCTATTATAGGTTTAAGGGTTTATACACCCTTTAACCCTAAACCCCTAAACCCCGAAACCGTCATCAGCCTGGCCAGATCTCGAAATTTCCGCAGACCTGGTCCCCCGCAAGTGTTTCGGGACCTGATGATCCCCGTACAAAAGACCCTGAAGCAAGGGATCTGCTGTTTTCAGAGGCCCTCAATATCCAGCACTCCGAACCTCCTTTAACCGATTGTCCTCCGACGTCCAATCCCAAATCCTAGACCCTGAACCCCAGACCCTAAACCCCTCTAAACCCCAAACCCTAGACCCTAGACCCTAAACCCTAAACCCCTCTAAACCTCAAGCCCTAAAGTTCGTTGGCGAGGAGCACTTGGAGCGACTGCAGCCGAAACTGCGGCGGGGGCCATCGGAGTCGTTCTCGCGACGTCTGGCGTGCCTGGGGCCTTGTCTTTGAATGAAGAGGGTTTAGGATTTATGGGGTTTATAGGGTTTAGAGTTTATAGGGTTTATAGGGTTTAGAGTTTATAGGGTTTATAGGGTTTAGAGTTTATAGGGTTTATAGGGTTTAGAGCTTATAGAGGTTATAGGGTTTAAGGCTTTTAGGGTTTATCGGGTTTAGGGTTTATAGGGTTCTTAGGGAATTAGAATTTCCAAGAAGAGAAGAGCCTGCAGGATTTAGGGCCACAAAGGATTAGTTGATGTCCCCGCATATATCTTATCAGTTCTATGCATGTAACCTTGTCTCTACATGATATGTCTGTCGGCGTTTGTCTGTCCGTCTGTCTGTCCGTCTGTCTGTCTGTCTGTCTGTCTGTCTGTCTGTCTGTCTGTCTGTCTGTCTATATGTTTACATCTTCTTCCGAGATGACCTCCATTGTTTGATGCCAGGTACTGCGAAGAACGGCGGAGCCGAGTGCCCCGAGGTGCCGACCTGAACCCGTCCCTGTTGGTATTGGTGGTCATGGTGATGATGATGATGGTGATGGTGATGGTCGTGGTGATGGTGATGATGACGATGATGATGATGGCAGCAACAATGACACTGACGACGGTTATGAGGCGGCTGTTGACGGTGTGTTCCGTAATGTGTTCTGCGATCTATGAAGATAACAATGATGGAGACAATGATGGTGATGAAAGCAGATTTGGTGGTGCGGGAGTGTAAGAATGTGGTGGTTTTGCGTCTCTGAAAGCGGTGGTGCGCGTGATGCTGCTACTGGTGCTTCCCAACAGAGCTGGTCCAGCGATTTGCTCAGGCCGACCTGGAGGAAACCGGCGTGTGCAACACCCAGGACTGCATCGCAAACGCTTGGGGCAAGGCCAGCATCCTTCAGAGTTCTGAAGTGTAGCGGATCCGTAGGTACTATAGGTCTTGTAGACCCTAAGCCCCTACCCGCCGCGAGATCGACTGTACCTGGAGCACCTGGTCTTCTTGGCGATCCTGTTCCACCTCCTGCGGCATGGGCGAGGAGCTGCCGGGCAGGGGATCTACACTGGTTTGGGGATCACGCCAAGCGGGTTTGCGGGAGCATTCTCTTAGCTCCAAACATGCTGGGTGATGCCACTGTGAGGCCAGAAGAACTCGCATCATCGTTCAGCAGGCCCCCTTGCCGCATTTAAGCGTGTATTATGCCTACATTCCCTGGGCACGACCCTAAACACAAATCATCACAAATCCCATCAAACCCTAGACACTATGCCCAGACAACGAAGCCTCTAAACCCTCAGCCAAGGCTGCCCACTCTGGCCAACCTTGCAGCGGATTCTACCAGGACTTGGCAGCACAGCTGCCCAGGGTTACTATTACAGTATCAGCATGCAGATGTATTCAGCGTAGCTATAATGTACACACAAAAGCCTATTCTGATTATGGTTCCTATTATAGTCGCCTAAGTACCAGGTATAATCTACCCCCGAAAAAGCCCTGTTCTAAGTATCACAGGTCCTCAAGTTACGCGAGGTTTCAAGAGTTCCTGGCAGCTTTCGGCTGTCTCCGGCTGTCTCCGTGGGACCGAAGAGTTGCTGCAGTATTACAGTATGGGAGTCGGAGGAAGGTTAGTATTGGTTGTGCTACTTGGGTTGGTCGGGAAATGTTGTTGCTGTATGCTACTGGTTTGAAATCGGACTTCCTGCGCATCCTGTGATGGGAGTGCGTCAGATGGGATGATTTTTATCCGGCGTTGACATGGTGGAAGGCAAAATAGCCCACGGTTGATGCGTTTAGGACTGACTGTTTTGCTGGGCTGCTCGTGATCAGGAGTTCCGCAAGTGCCAAGACAAGCCCTGCGAGCAGAAGGATTGTCAGTTCTCCGTGGCAGGCTTAGGTCCGGCTTGGGTTTTCTTGGGTCTAATCTCGGGGTACGAATACGCGATGGGTAGTAAGTAAGATGTGTGTGTATATATATATATATATAGTCTCCCAGATAAGTATGCTATGCGATGTATCCCTGATCTAGGAATCTAGGGGTCCAAGTAGTTGATGGGTAGTAAGATCATGTAAGATCCCCCTTTTGTTCCTAGAGAAGTATCTTATAATCGATTATAAAATGTAGCCCTATGCCAGTGTCATCCCACAACGTCTTTTGGTCAAAGCAGTGTCTGCGTACCGGTTGACAACCCTGAAGGCTATATCTGGAAAAAGTTCTAAAACCCAAACCCGCACACGCACCTCGTACCCAACAGCTAAACCATCCTAAACCCTTATAGGCCCTACAAACTCCACACAACCTTAGACAACCTCAAATCTAATCCCGAAGGATCTAAACCCTATACCCTAAACCCTAAACCCTAAACCCTAAACCCTAAACCCTAAACCCTATATATATATATATATATATATTATTCCTGAGGCAAAATATATATATATATATATATATTATATTCCTGAAAGGCCTCAAGTCGTACAGCTAAGGCCTGGGAATACTGGAGCAGCTGCTCCGACAGGTGGAGATGTCCGGATTTCTGCAAGACTTGCGGCTTAGGGCTGTTAGGCCTGAAGGTTTCGGGTTCTTAGCCTATAGAATTTATAACAGTTTAGATGGAGTTTTAATCTTATGTTACGTTTTGGGGGCGTTGAAGGGCTGGAGGATTAGGGTTTGAGGCCTGACAGAATCAACATTCGGGGTGCAATCTTTGCGGCCGTGGGTCTGGGGTAGAATCATCCTCAGGGCGGGAGGTGGCTCGGCAGTGAGAGCTTAGGGCTTACCTTCAACTACCAGAACCTACTTTTTTTGCAGGGTCCCTATAAATTCTATATTAGGGTTATAATAAAGACCTTCAAACAAGTAGGTTATGGTAGTTCAAGGTAGGTTTTGGGGGAGGCATCGACCCGAGATGCTCCAAACATGGCAGGTGCACGGGCCATCGCCAACGAAGGCGCAGCATCGAACAACAGGCCATTGGAGGCAGGTCCCCTGTTGTGTGGCGAAGGGATGTCATTTTACACTTTCCCCCCCTCCCCCGGCAGCCGAGGGAAGCAAGAAGCGTCTTTTGTGTTCAGGGCACACACAGGCTTTGCCCAGTCGTCGGTCGAGGGTGGCCAAGTGGTTGCGGTTCGGGGGATGGCTAAGGTTGTTGAGAGACAGCGAATTGGTAACTAGCTGAAAAGAGCTCTCAGCAACTAGGCTCACATTTCGTGATGCGCAGCACGCCTACAAAAGCCTTCTACAACGCATGCGAAAGTCTGAGCCTGACGAAGCTGCGAGCGTGAGAGTCGAAACCTGATAAGGCTTCCAACTAACTAACTTAACCCTCAAGCTGAGAGCAAGAGCAATTTAGAAGCGTACGCTTTGCTGAGATGGAGCTGCCTGCAGTGGCTCCACGAACGAACTCCGCCCCTGCGGCGCCTGACCCCTAGACTTTTGCTCCGATGATTGAGGCTTAATTAGGGAGTAGAGATCGTGCTCACCCGGTCGCGGGTTCGCGCCTTTGTTTGAAAGAATGGCCTTGTCCTTTGGGGTTTGGTGGGTTCAGGTTTGGGGTTTTGTCTTTAGCGAGCGATAGTTCAACAATAGCTCCCGCCGTTGACATATACACGGGTCTGCAAAGCACCCATCCGGAAAATATGCCCAGTCTGTGTCGTAGCTTGCCCCACCTTGGAACATGGAGTGAAGTGAGGAAGACACGGGCTGACTTGCACAATTAACTCCTGTTATTCGGTTGCTGTCGGGCCTGTTTCTGTTTTGAGCCATTATATCACCAATTTTCCCAGAGTTCATGTGTGAATTTGTGTATGTGTGTGTGCTCTAGGTCTCTCTCAGTACATGGCACATACATGCATGCATGTGTACAGGGAAACGCACACAAACATATCTACACAAACGTGTATGTATGTATATATATATATGTATATTCTTACATACACACACATATATGTATATA